AAAGTTACTCTGTAAGTTGTTGTTTATTGTACATTATTAAAAAAATATAGGACTCTTCTTTGTGTGATATAGCTATGCCTATGATATAGGACTTAGACTGTTATAAAAACAGAAACTCATTAAATTGCAATTTTTTTTTTTATTTATAAACATTTTGATGACATTTCTTCCCCACTATGTGTAATGGCCGTAAGACGAGAGAGCACTCAAAACTCATCAGATTATCGCATAATTTAGTGGAACATTAATATAGTAATATAGAATCATCCTCTGTAAGAAATGAGGTGTGAACATTTGAGAATTTATCATTATCTTTCTAAATGTGCGCCCTTTGGGGCTAAAGACTTAATGGAGCTGTTTAAAGTAGCCATGTGATAACAAAATAATCGGTGCAGACACGATTCAATACGTGTGTCCTTCTATGTGAAATAATCATAAATACCAGTTTATGCTGTTTGATTGTGGCCTCGAAGGTCGTTGTTGTAAGCTGTAGCCCCGGCTGGCCTGTTTAGATCTTGCGTGCACAGTGGAAATGCGGCTAATAATTTCTGAATACTGACTGGCATATAACAAACAAATCAAACAAACGTAAACGGGCAAAGGCGGGGCCCATGGGCTACAGCTCACTCAAGCCCAATGGTGAAAGTGAAAAAAAAGTGACGTGACGTGGCCAAGTATGGTGACCCATACTAGGAATTAGTGCTCTGCATTTACCCATCGCAAAGGCGGGGCCCATGGGCTGCAGTCCACTCAATGGTAAGTCCGGCCATGGTGACAGCTAATCAGAATCTATTCTACTCAAGCATTTAAAGCGTGAAGCCACATAACGGATTGCGCACACTTATAATAAACAGAATGTTATCATTCTCTGGTCTGGACGCTAATATACACTGGGAACACTTAGGGTAGGAGAGACTAGCATCAGGGCTCGCAAAATCGCTAGCCCGATGTCCCGGGGCTATTGTGTTTTCCAGTCGGGCTACCAAAATGTATCACCACTCTGCCCGACGGGCTATCATAAATACAGATCAATCAAGTCTAGCGCCACCTGCTGTCAGAGAGTGAAATTTGTGTCTCATTCACAAATCTAAAATCAGATCATTCTGTTTTTGCTTCAAATTTCGAAATAATACAATCTAATTGCAGTCTAAATAACATGTATTTAGCATCTTTATTTGGATCATGATTAAAATGCAGTGGTTGCCTCTGATTTTAAAGGGGTCCTATTATGCTCTTTTACAATGTCTTGAATTTGTTTTGGGGGTGTACTAGAACATGCTCTCATGCTTGGTGGTTCGAAAAACGCATTTTTTTTAACATAATTTACATTATTACAATACCTTTCTCCCCAGTCTGCCACAAACGGCTCGATTAGTTCCAGGTTTGATAAATGCCCACCTTCCAAAAAACGAAATGTGATGTGATTGGTTAGCTATCCCAGTGCGTTGTGATTGGCGAACAGCTGAGATGGTGTTTCAGTACTGCCCCGCCCCTTGCCAAAGCAGCAAGTTTAGTTAAGGATGGTGTCAATATTGCCATATCAATTTGAGCCGGATTCAGATCCAGAGAATACTGAACAAGAGGATCGCGCAGAACCTTTGCACGCACGGATATTGCAAGACATATTAGAGTGGTAACGTTATTGTTGTTGT